GTCATTCACTAGATCAGGTTGCTCAGGGCCCCATCCAACCTGGCCTTGAACATTTTCAGGGGCGGGACATCCACAACTTCTATGGGCTTCCTGGAAAGCAACAGCATTAAATCAAACCAAACCAAACAAAAAAAAAAAAAAAAAAGTAGAATATCCCACCCTAAGTCTCAGCCTCCTGAAATCAACCTGAGCTCCTTTGTAGCAAGTGAGCCACTTCAGCACCCCTCCCCTTCTCCCATTATTTGACAGGTTTAGATTCCTAATTGTGTGCAGCAGCCAGGAACAGGAAATGTTAATAATTATGCCAATTTTCAATCACTTTAACTGCTTTTTAAAGTAGCACGTTTACAAACTTCCTCCCTATATGTGACTAGAAGCTGAAGAGTGAAACTCTGCAAACAAAAGCCAAAGCAGCTCCAAAGTCTTGCAGAGCAGCTTAGGAAAGAACCCCCAGCAGCTGCTGTGTGTCGTGTGTCCTGATCTCGCACCTCAAGCACAGACACAGTCAGGGCACACAGCCGAGGTACCTATTCTGTTGTGCAGTTACGATGAATATTTGCAATACTTGCTCAAAACTGGCATGAAGTTACCAGGAAATTATGAGGAAACTGAAGCCTTAAAAAAAGGAAACAATCAATACACAAAAAGAAAGGCTGGTCCTAACAAGGGTTTACAGGAGCATCTCACACAGAGAGCCTTGAAGCCACACACAGTCTTAAAGCCACTGCAGTGGAGATGCACAGCAGCTTCTCTGTTCTGCTCTCTTCAGGATGTGGGTATGCCTTAGGCACATGACTCCAGTGCTGTATTACCACGGAGTACAGTGTGTTTCTATGGTGCAGAAAAGACAGAAGCAGCAAATACAGCTGCAGAAAACCTCAAGACCATTCCCTCCCTCTCCCTCCATAGTTCCCTCTTTACTGAAGGACACAGGTAACACAGGCACTCAGTGCTCACAGTAACAACAAAGGGAATGTGTCATTCAACACAGTTGGACTGAGTGGTCATACTAAACACCTTCCAGCCACGTCACAAAAGGACACACTGCAGCAGCCCAAGGACACCTGGCAGTGTTGGTACCCTTTAAATTCTTTCCTTCTAACCTTTGAGGACTGAAGTTATATTTCACAGGGGTCAGCTAAGTGTTAGGGCATACTACCGATGTTATCCCACACACAGGCAAGAATGGTTAAGGAACAGTCAGTGACAATTAATAGTATCTATCTTTTCCACTCTTTCACATTTTTCATGCACCTTTCTTCAGTTTTCTGTAAGGTTCTCTCCATCTTTCTGCCTTTTTTTTCTATCATCTTCCACCAATTTTTTTTCACTTCTGATTTGGCCTTACAATTTACTTTTCTTTGTTCTTTTCTCTCCACTTTCATAATTGTGCTGTTATGCATATTTAAGATGCTAAGAGTACACAAGAGGATTTTTAGGAGAACACAGCACAATAAGTGAGCTGCTTATAAAATCCAGATACACACATCACAGCAGCAGCAGCCAGTGGATGCTGAGTGTGTTCAGCAACATGTCTGGAGCTTCAATGGAAGCTCATATACTCAGAAAATGTGGCCCTTAGGTCACAGACTCCTTAGTATTAATGACTGATCCCAATTTCTCACTAATGCAAAAGAACTCTAAAGAAATAAAATGGAGGAGGATAAAAAGGGAAAAATGGCAGAAGAGCGAATAAAATAATACAGAAAGACTAAAAGGACAGCTTTGCTTGTATATTAGAGCTGTTGACTGGAAATAATTTTCGTACAGTCCCTCCTCCTAAAAAAAAACAACCACTCAAAAATGCTACAAAATTAAAAGCCAGTAAATACATTTGGAGTTTGGACTCAGATGCCAAACTTCCACAAAGTCAGTTGTACTAACAATAAAGAGGAGAGAATTATATCTGTAATTGCTGCAATATTTTCCAAATGCACTCAGCTGAATACAAAATTTATTTTTGTGCTTTTTTTTAGTACTATCATATGGTAGTGGGAGCTTCAGACGAGTCACAGAGGGTTGAGTTTTGGAGGATTCAATGAGAAAATTGCTTGAGATGTGGTCAGAATAATTTTATATTTTAGAGGCAAATATTCTTAATTTCCTAGAATGACTTTGTAAGAGCGATATACCTTCTTTTTTTTGTGTGTGTTCATTATCCTCTAGATTCTGGAAATCTCTCTGTATGCTGAGAGCAAATTACACTGACGTGACAATTATAAAACCATGGCAGTCCCAGTTAGTCCTACTCTATGTATTTGCTCTCCCACTGCTTTAAAAACCTAACCCAGAATGGTATGAATGCCTTAGGCTTCCAGTGTGATTTGCAGGAGCAAGGTTTCATTAACATATTGTATGAGTAGTCTGGCCTCCCCTGCTATCACTATGTATAATCATGACATGTAAATGTGACAGTCTGGTCAAATTCTACGTTCAAATCCCCCAATTTAGATTCTTTATGGTGGATCATTTCAAGACATAAAATGTTAGACCTATATGTCTTTTCTATAAATCTTGGAGTGTCTTCTACCTCTGTAATATCTGAAGACAAACCTGGTTCTTGCTCAGGGCAGTAATCCCACAGGATTAAGTTATTCTGTAAATACCAGACAAATTACAATCGGATTAGGTGGGCAGTCTGTTCATTTACTCAACACAGCTGCACTCCAGAGTCTTTTCACCACTCGTGTCTATTTATAGCACAAATGTGTTTTTCTTAAAGTAAATGAACACAGTTTCCATTTTATATCTCTGTTGTCTTACTATTTGTAACCAATAAGGAGCACATTTCTACTTCCTAAGGAGCAAACACAATGTTCCTTCAGAGGCCAAGAAAGCTGCTCTTGGTGCAGATCTGCAGGGCAAGGTTTAGTCTAAATTTATTAGTGAAAAGTCCCTTGAAAGGTTTGCATTCAATTTCAGTCAAATGAAATATAGAAAATATCTTTCTGGAGGTAGATATAAGACAGTAGCACAGATATGCTGAAATTTCCCAGGACTTCTTCATTGCAGGAATTTCTACAGGTTCCAAATCTGCTTACATTGGTGAGCATAAAACCTTATAAAGCCCACCTGGTAGATCTGGTGTAGCACGGGGTTTACAGGGGATTTCTGCTCACTTCTGAATAAGAAACATGTTTAATAATGTTCAATATTACATGCACTTTGCCAAAATTTCACTAACGCTTCACTGAAATTATTTAAAAATGTCACATCACATCCCTCACAATTACAAGAATCATCTTGCCTTTTAGATACAAACTTGCTCCTATCCAGCACACAAATCTGGCATTACTGAATTTTTACTACTGCAATCAATTAACGAAACCCATGGAGCTGAGATATTCATAAAACAAGATTAATGATTGCAGGCATGAAAATGCTAAAGCCAAATTAAGCAAACTGCTGTGCCAAGTAGTAATCTCAGTATCTTGCTAAGTCCATTCTCACCTCCACCTTCTGATCTCAGAGTCATTACTCCTGGTGTCCACAGAGATAAATAAGAATAATACTGCTGAGGCTGGGACAGCAGAGTCCACGAGTCAGGAAGAATGTGTTGTAGGCCAACCCACCCCATTGCCACCAAGATCCCTGATATTTACACATTGGCACATACTCACTAAGCTGCAGAGGTGTGAGGTAGACAACCTCTGCCATGGAAACCCAGAGGGGGTGTTCTTTTGAGCCCCCTGAGCCTGTCCCAAAGTGATGTGACCACATCGCAATGAGTAATGTAAGAGAGGGGCACAAACACAACTTGAAAGGCAGTGTGGAATTCACTTCTCTTCAGCAGTGATACAGTAGCCTGGAAACCAGAGTACCTTCCTTTATCAGGTATAAACTAGAGTAGCTTATCATATCCTATTTAATATGTTACAGCTGCCAAATAGGCATAATATAGTACCTACACAAATATGAGATCAGTTGTTCTCCTAAGAGAGCTTTTCCTTTAGGCAGGTGACAACATTTCAAAGTCATAAACTGATTTTACTGAAGCTGGAGGAGAAAGTGTCCTGAGCCAGCTTTGCACTCTAAGAGGTGCTAGGGTGACCTTCCACTGTGGGACACTGTCTTTGGCACCACTAAATAGGAACCTTTTTGCAACAGAAACATGGGTGCAAGGTTCTGTGTTCACGCACATGTGGGACTCCTGTTGATATCATTAGGAGTTTCCACATTTCACTAGCTCAGAAGTGAACACGTTGTAAACCTGAATGTATGTGGGGCAGTGATTTTATGATACAGCATGACAAGTCAATATTGGCTTAAGGTTTTCCTGCACAATTTCCTCCTGTGCTTTTCTCTGTGTGTGGGTTTATAGGCTATGTGTGTTATAGATCATGTTAGTTTTCAGATCAATTCCCAGCACAACCTCCCAACCAGTCCCACTAGCCCAGCTGAAAGAGATATTCCGTGTCACAGCACAGGAGGAGGCAGTGGGAAGGAGAGGAATGGTTTACAAAGAATCACAGAATCATTTAGTTCGGAAGAGACCTCCAAGATCACCGACTCCAGCCTTTGACCAAGGCTTAACCAAAGTTAAGCTGGTACCTCTGGTTGGTATCATACTTGCCAGGATCACTGGATCTTTGCAAAAAAAAAAACCCAAACGAGTACTGTTTGCTTATTTTGCTACAAACTGCTGGGACAATGACTATGTCTTAGCATCCATCAAGAAAGGAAGGATGTGCCATGGTAGGAAAATCCCAACTCACATGAAAACATTACATTTGTGGAAAATTAACGAAAATTGATTTCTTTTGCAGGACCAAGTCATGAACTGTACTTCTGTAGTGCAGTATGCATACTTAAAAACCTTAAAAAATAACAATATGAAGACTGAAGTGATTTTGACAATAATCATTTTTCTTTTTACTACAAGAAATTTATATAAGGAATTCAGACTTCTGAGATATCTAATATATCTAATATATTTAATATATCTAATGAAAGATATATTGTAAAAAGAAAAATGAGGAAAAATTACATCAAGGACTTACTTTCTGCAGGTTCCTTAGATCTTCTGCCACTGGAGGACTTCCTCAGGAGACTTCGTCCTGAGGTGAAGAGGCTGGTTAGTTCCTCCAGAGGACTGGTGGGTGTCCGAGAACGGGAACCACTCTGACAGGATGACCCGTAGGTACTGACAGAGGCATTTACCATCTTTCCTCCTTCTTGCAATGTGTTTCTGGCTGTAGAATGAGGCACTGATGGAGAGCTTCTTGAGAGACTTCCTGAATGCACAGAGTCATAAGGTGGAGGTCTTTTGAGGCTTAAGGGGGTAAGAGACCTACCCATACTGACAGGAGAAGGTGAGGCAGAGTGACTTTTAGGATAACCATGTGGAGACTGTGTTCTGTATAAGGTAGAAGGATGAGGAGGTGAGGAGGTGTGCCCAGGGGTGCTAGTTCCATGAGATACTGTCTGATCTTTCTCCAGTTTTTGATGGCCTGGTGTATGAGGTGGCAGTGAAGACGGAGAAGCTCCAGCTTGTTGTTTGATGTAAGACACATTTTCTAAAACGGGAAGCTTTGTGACCTCTAGTGGAGTTAGAGGAGACTCATCAGAATTTGGGGAACACTGCACTGGTGCTGGTGGGAACACCAGCAGTGGAGGTCTGTGAGAAAGCAGATTTGGAAATGGTGGGGGTATATCACAAAGCAAGCCCTTGGGAGTAGATGGCACTGAAGACTTGGTGAAATCTAGGTCAGGCACTGTGGGAGTAGCACACTGAGAAGAACAAGTGTGATGGTCATATTCACATTGACATTTTGAATCTTGGCCTACATCATCAAATATAGGGTATTTCATCTCCTCATAGACGGCTTCGCTTTGGTCATCCTCATCTTTTTTGAAGTCTCTGAGAATATTCCCAACCATTTCAATATAAACAGGCTCTTCTTCCTCTGTGTCTGGAGCAGGACTGCTGACCTGCGATAAAGAGGCATCCCTAGTGAGTGTTGTCTTCATAGGGCCATGCTTTTTGATATATGTTTCATCAAAAGATGTGCTTAGCTGAGTGTTTGGATTTCGTTTCGGCTTAGGAGGTGGAATCTTCTTTGTGTATTCATCACTGTGAGGTCTTGGTTTGGCTGACACTGAAAACAGAACAAAATATAAACTAATCAGAAGCATGTAACACACTTTGTCAACCATAAGATTTCCATTACAGTGTCATAATTCTGGAATTAATTTCCTGGGACCAGCTTGTTGTTGGTTTTCTCCGGTATTACATCAGTAGAACATTATAAAAATAACCCTCTATTCAAACCACTCCTAGAGTTCCCCCAGAATGCTCTGACACTCCAGTAGTTAGTGAGCACTTCCCTTCCTCCGAGACATCTGTTCTTTTCCAAACTCTTTGGGACAGGGGACTTTCCATTTTTAAACATTATGCTTTTCAAATATCACTGTGGGATTTTAAAGATCCAAAGAGTTGCTTAAGACATAACACTAAGTTTCAAAATTAACTCCTTTTGGCTCCAAGAGAACAAATAAGATCCTGGACATTCATACTGGAATGACAGTGATGTAACTCTGAAGTGACACAGTGATGAAGCAAGACCTTTTTATTTATAGTAACTTCTTGCATAAAGCACAACAATTCTCTCAGCACTGACCGAGAAAGGAAATATTCATACACAAACTGTAAAATCTACTGTTGAGATAATCCTAATAATTTATCTGGAATCTATCCTATTATTAACAAGATTTCAGCAAAGGCAAGGAGGAACAAAGTATCTCACAGACTCAGATCCTTTCCACACAGGTTATTTACAGGAACCTTGTCTTTGAAACTATAAATCAAAACATTGTGATGAAACTGATTTGAAATAAGAGGTGAAGAGTTTCTTAGAAATTATCCTTTATTAATTAAACAATAAAGAAATTAATGGAAATTGCATTTTGTTCACTTTGCATAAAGAGCTAATAAAACATCTCATTAAATCTTAGGTTTGATAAAATGTCTCATTAAATGTTTAGGTGAAGCTAGTTTTTATCCAAAGCAGATTCAACAAACTTATTCAGAAACAAAAGTTACCACATATATTAAACTTCATTTATATTCATATAAGGTGATTGACACCTCATTAGTAAGTTTCCCAATTAAAAAACAAAATAAATAAACCAACCCCAAAAAACTCCTATACTACAGGCCAGTTCTGAATGGCAGCTTTCCCACCTTTCCAAACTTTGTTGCTCCTTGCAATTCACTGCTCCAAATCTGCCACTGTGAACTCAACGCTCAGAGAAATTTCCAGACACCTTCTGCTGAACCATCAGCAAACAGCCAGCAAATGTCTGATGTTAAACCAAACAGGCAGTACTCATGGAGTCGAAAATCCTCTCTTAGAAACAGCCTTAAACATATTATGAAAGCCAGCAGTGAGGCACTGCTCTGCCAGCTCAAAGACAGTATTTTGAGGACAGTACCTGCGAGGACTCTGGCCCAGGGCTGGCAGACGCCTGCATTAAAGCACCTTACTAAGGTGACTTGGTCAGTATCAAAGGAGAACTCAAACACAGTGTTAACACTTTGTCACAATTCTGCTTTGATCTGCTAAATAACCTCTGTTCAATTCCCACAAGGCACAGCAGTACAGGCGGATGATAAACAAGTTTTGTTTAGGAATATGGAGCTGCGAATTTATGCATGTGAAGTAATGAGACCACTCTTCATCAGCAGCATTTGTTTAAGCTTAACATACAACTAAGGTACAACAAAGCAAAAAGAAAAAGAAATCTTTCCAGAATTAAAAGAAACAAAATAACACTCAAAAAATTATATTATGCTTTCATGATGATTCTAATTAATGTGTTCCACTTTGCAGCAGGCTAGGGACATGCAAAAGCTACCACAGATAAGAGTGTTTGGTAGCTTGATAATTTTTCACTGTGTGGATATATCCTAATGCATTTTAAATTTGTCTTTTTAATTAACCCAAATTAATTTTCTTGAATGTATTAGGCTAGACTTTTGGGAATGAGATGTAGGCTACCAGAATCATTTGGGCTTTACAGAAAATATTACTCCTGATGTATTTGACAATACTAGCATATCTTTCTTGCCATGCTTCCAGCTAAATTACTATTTCCTTTCCATTTAGTCTGTTATTTGTAAATTATATTTGTATATATTCTATTGACATAAACTTGATCTCAATCCTCTCTCCACACCTCTATTAATCTGATTTACAGCCCTGTCAAAAGCAATCTTATTCAGATTGCTGTCATTAAAATGAAGAGACAGTCAATGACTGGCACAAACTGTCTGATCATTTGTGAACATGTTGCACATGACCTGAACTCTATTTTAGCTACATCTGAAATGTACACAGAGGCTTCTCCCAGCCTTCTGTTCCTGTGCTTCATGCTCCTTAATGAATACCTGAGATAGAAACATTTCCTGATCCTCTGCTGTCCTCAAACCCCTGTTCCGTGTGCTGGTTTCTACATCTTCTGTGCCACAGGTGTCCCACTGAGAACATGCTCTGTCTCACAGCCACATCCCCACTCTTTCATCTCTTTATCTGCAGAGATGTTAAGGACGGACAAATAATCAAATATGGGATGCTCTTCTGTCACAACAAATTGCTAGAAAAAGCATATTTTCCTCTTCCCTCCTTCCATTTTCACAGTTTTTTTATCCAATTAAGTTCTGCCACATGGTCTAAACCTGTCCTTAGGTCCTTAAGTTTTCATATAAAACATTTACAGGTTATTACATTACAAATGAGGAAATGAGAAATGTCAAGGCAAAATGACTGACATTCTGCCATCTAGTCTTGTATTTTTGCATGGGTTGAAACTAAGTACCAAGTGACACACAGAGCCTCATCTGCTGTTGCATGATATGTAGCATTAGCCTAAGATATCTTTGTGACATTATCAACAAAAAGGTCAAATGACCCAATCTTGCTGTATGAGACAGAGTAAAACATGACAAAGTTATTTACTTTCTATTTTCTTTCTAAAGCATTTTTCCTCTGCCATAGTTAATTTTATTAAACCATCTATTTCCAGGAGGTGGGGTGTTACTGAGATCTTTTTCCTTCCTTGACAAATTCGACTTATCAAATTACAATTTTGTACTAAATGCTTTAAGTATTTTACATATTTACCTTAAAATGTAAAAAGGTATCTACCTCCCATATATTGCACAAAGTATGAACTATAAGACTTCCTAGAGAAAATACACAGGTAAATGGATAAAAACCAAAGGAATCATTTAATCATTACTGGGAACAGAGGAACTGTTCAACATCTATCATGAACTCCCCTTGGATGCAGGGGGACATTCAGGAGGCAAACTGAATTAGCTTTAAGAAGCTAATGATGTAAAACATTTCAGTTTATTTAACAAAGGTTTCTACTCTGAAACAGAGCTCCATGGCAAGGGCTGAATTCTACAGGACACCTTATAATGGAATATGGATCATGAACTACCGCTCCAGCCTGGAACAACAGAGAAAACAACAGGAATCCTGCAGCTAAAGAGAGCTGTGCAAAGCTAATGAAAGGAGCAGGGAGTATTTGTGCAGTTCCTGTGTTACCAACATTTGCCAGAGATAGATGTGCATGAATGCAGAAGCCCTGGCAAGATCCCATATCCCATGAAAGGAGATTATTTGGCAATATCCAGAGAGGAACAGGCAAGATTGCTTCAAGTACTTGACATTTATCAGGCAGAAAAAGCATTCGGTGCCTGCTGAGAACATAAACTCCTATGAAAAGCAAACCACGCTGACATATTGGTGGTACACATACTGCTGTGTTGTCTGCCTTAAACATGGAGTAATTAAATGCTTTTCAACATGGATTACTATGTCCTTGGTGCAACTGTTGCCACTAACCTGTGTTGAAACTCTGCCACTCATACATCAGCAGACGTGGGTCCTGATCCAAAGCTAAATGGAAGAAATAAAAGTGAGAATGATTTCTTTCCCTGCCAGGTGCAACTTCTCTTAAACATCCACCTCAAAGTGCTTCTATCACAGACACACACAAACACAAGTGACCACCAGGCCTGTGAGGAGTTTGAGAGATGGGAGGCACTCAGAGGAAGAAAACTCAGCATCTGCTCCGTGGTCCTCTGCCCTCACAGGAGCTGCCGCGGCTGTGGGAGCTCAGAATGCTGTGCCAGCAGACCCTTGTTTGCATCAGAACCATCCAAATTACCGTAACCGATAAACTGGAGATACAATAATCCTTACAAACAACAGTGAACTTCACAAAATTTACGTTGCTTGGGCAGGAACTCTCCATGTTTAATAGTGTCCTACTACCAAGCAATTAATTACCCAGCTCTAACAAACCTCAAGCAAAACAAGAGATGTAGGCTCTAGTAACTTCGGTTCTTGTCTCGAAGCAAGTAGCAGAATGCTTAAAATAGCCTCACAGAAGCCCTACCGAGAATATGACATTTTTGAAATGAGATATATGTAGCACAAAGGTTATGCATAGCTTTCAGACATGCCCAGATAATCTGCCTTTCAAAGTTAAATTTGGAAATACAAAATGCTTCTGGTATTATCCTTCTGAAGCATTTTTTTACTCTTTAAGGAGAGATTGAAATATGAAAATGTGTTGTCATACCGTTGTTTTTTGTTTGCTCGCTGTATAAGGAATGAGTGAAAACATCTAAAAATTAAAATTAATTTTCTAATTGTCCTTTGGGTGTTTTCCAGCTTCTAAATTTCACAGACCAATCTGATGAATTGTGCTGTTCACTGTAAAAAACAGAATAAAGAGATGTAACAGGAAAATTCCTCCCTTTCAATTTCTACAAGAGGCTATAAGATTCAAATTATTTCTTAATGAAGGAATGAATTGGGCCCTAAAAATTTTAAATTTCTTAAAAATGTGACTTTAAATGCAGAAGGAATTAATCTGATTGTACTTTGAGGGGTACCTCTATCAAAAAGAGCCTCCAGGAGTGAAAGGAAATAGAATTTCTTTAATTAAACCCTGAACATGCTGGATACTGAATCACAGATACACAGATTCTGATTCACATCACATAATTCAACAGAGAAAATCCAGCTCTAGGGTAGTACAGAGCCTATATGTATATACATGTGTATGCAAGTTCAAGACTGAGTAACCCCACTGGCTCTAATGAAATGAACTGCTTGTTCAAAGTTGCACATCATTTTAAGTGCATTTGTGCACCAGTGTTATATTGGGTTGGATTTCATTATCTCTGTAGGTGAAGTTTGAATATTCTTAGTGAAACTGAATTTAAAAAGGCACAGTCCTCTGAACTGTGGAAAAGACTGGAACTCAGGAGACCTGAGTTTAATTCATCTCTTTGTCACAGGCCACAGGGCCTTGCCTGTCATTTTACCCTTTAATACTGCCTTTCACTATCTATCTTTTGCAGTTAAGGTTCAAAGGTTTTTTAACACAAGGTTTTCATTTTAATTTATTTGGTTACATCAAAACTTGCACGGAGCTTCCTATCATTGGACAGCAACAGTAGAAAACTAAAGCAAATTTAAATGTAGTTATTGGAGACAAGCAGTGTTGAACATGCATCTTTTCTTCTCCAAGGAATATTTGAAGACAAACGTTCACCTACTGTGAACAGTCAGAAAATATACAAAGATGCATCTTAACAAGTGATTATAGAAACATCATCACTAGATTGAAGTAACATCAGAGGCTGTATCTCTGTCACGAAAAAAACCCTGGCTTTCAAAATAGCACTGTCCTCATGGACACAAGGCCTATCCCTGCAGGTTACCTCTTCCTTTCCCAAAAGATGCTCTAAAAGAGGGGAAGCACATGGAAGGAAAAAAAGAGCCATCTGATTAATTCAAATAGGCAATAGGTGGTTTCAGCACAATGATTTCATGCAGTACATATTTCTCCTCTGTTCCTGAATCTATTAGCTCTTACTGCAAATTATTTGGGCATTTAAAGAAGACAAAATTATACTGAAAATGAAAGGACTAGAAGTCAGTGTCATAAAATAATACTGACGTGCTACTTGTATGTCTCAAGGCTATGATTAAGGAGACTTCCTCAAAAGTATTCAGGTCCCTTTATTTTGGCTACAACTTCTTTTGGCTTTTAAAATGATTGATTTCTGCTCTAATTCAAAGTGGTGGAAAGCTAGCGGCTTTGGGAGTGATATTCCAGAATTAAACATCAGTACAACGGAGAGCAGAATTGGGCCCTGCAGTTAAATTCAGTTCTGCATTACTCCAATCAGCAACTACTGAAGCTGATAGGTGCTGTGCTTGAAGACATTGTACTGCCAGAGTCAGTTTAGGGCTGTGTATCTGGGCCACAAAGCTGAACTCTCAGCCCCAACACCCCGGCTCCTAACACGCTCTATGTGCCAAGGTTGCCATACCTGCCTGAGATTCCCAAAAGCCAGCCTAGGGCACTGACTGCCCTGCTGCCAGTGCCTCCTCCCAGCACAGCAGGGGCTGCCAGTCCTTTGTTCTGCAGCATCAAGACAAGGGAAGACCCAGAGGTGCCAGAATACACCAAAACCTTTGGATTATCAGCATGCTGGAGAAAGTCCCTCCCCAAACGGCCACGTTCCAGAACAGACTGGCTTCCAGGTTTTCTCCTCCATAGACCTCCACTTCTCTGTGTATCCACCTGGCACACTGAACCCTGCTTATTAGTCTTTCCCACAGTGAAAAGATCTTCAAAAACTTTAAAAAATTACAAAGTAATAAGTCTCTGTCTGAATGCCCAGCCTCGTGCTCTCACATATTTTGAACTTCACATCCTAGTTCTTCTGAAGAATGAGTAATTCATGCCCCTGATTTTTCCAGATAATATGGAATAGGCAAAGAAAAAAAGAAAAGAGTATTTGAGGAATAATTACAAATTATTTGCAATCAAGCTGTTCTGTACTATTCATTGAGGCTAAAAGTTATTGTCAGTCGGCACAGCTCTGGAAAGGCAGAAAAAGCAAGACTTTAGATAAGTAAGAAAAGAATAGTCAATTTGAATCATCCTCCTTTTACAGGAAAACTGATGAGCTGAGTGCAAAAGAAGACAAACGAAAATCTCACAGTAACTTCTTTTAGGTTACTCTCTGAGTATCCATCCAGAAAAATATCCTTGAACTAATATGCCCAGACACAAAGGGCCAGGATCTATGGAATTATATGGGTATAAGTTATGGTAGTTCCAGTGGAAGAGGCTCTGAGGAGGGAGCAGTGGGAGGATGACTGGGGAAGGATCCTCAAGGATCCTCACACTGCCCACACATGCAACGAGTACTTTCAAAGTGCTGGTTCATTCTGTTTCAGACAGCCTGAAGTCTGCAATATGCAAATCAGATTTTGCAAATGGTGTAACAGTGGCAATAAAAATTTTTGTAGCTCTATATATGCTGAAGGAATTCTAGATATAGAAAGGCAATTGTCATGGGAACTTATCTGCCACAAGCATCATTAATGAAGAGTGTGCAAACAGAATTACTGAATCATGCTTGCAGAGAAATTAATTTACAAAGTGTAAATTGTTTTTTGGTGGCTTTACTGCAGAAACACGTACAGAGCTGGAGCAGTGAAGAGTTACCCATGGTCACAACAGAGTACAGTGAAAGAGCCACAGATCAGCAACATGAGTAAAGCCCTTCCAGTTTATAGCAGCATTTATGGAATCTTAACTGTCATCTTGGAAGACAGTTTGCTGTTTTACTGTAAACTGACTGCTATTGCTCTACTTTTGCAGCTCCCCACAAACTGACTGGGTTTCAGATGGAGAACAATGGGTGACCCTAACCCTTAACCCTAACCCCCACCACCCGCCAGATCAGCATTTCTGATGTGGTGCAGTTCTCATAGAGCTGTCACCCTGCACTCAGCTGCCCCTTCTCCCTCTCTGCAGCTTCCCTGTAGCTATTCCCTGAACATCACACAGAAGATGGTGAGGCTCTGCATTTTCTATGAGTTTCTACAGGCTGTGCCATGGGATGACTGCAAGCACAACAGCATTTCTGTTGACCTGTAAAAATAAAATATCTCCCTTCTGTTCAGAAAGGGATGCTTCTGAGTATGTGTAAAGAGCTAAGTCCCATCAACACATGCCTAAGACACCTACGTCACATGAGCTTGGTACGTAGAGGACACCACTATCATACCAGTAAGCCTTTGAGGGCTGAGCTGCTTATTCCTATGTTACCTGCTGCCCAAAGGGCACTGAAGGTCTCAGTGGTATCATCTGGCAATGCTCATGTAAACAAAGGTAGACTCCAGTCAATGCAACTCCTGGCTTCACAGGAGCAACACTGCTATCGATTACCAGCTACCGTAGCTGAGGGCGATCATGTGGGAAATCGTTTGCTGAACTTCCGTGAACTTCTTGGAGAAGGCACAGTACCCAGGCTTTCTGACCCAGTGCTCATAGAGACACTGAACAAAACTGATCTCTGAAAGAGTTCCTCGCTCTGGGAGATTTCTAAAACCAGGAGATGCACCCAAATAGTGAACTCCAAAATTACTTACTGGGGAAATGGTAAAGAAGGAAATAAAGCTAGAGAAAGAGCAAATGCTTAATGAAACAGTAAGTTTAACTCGACTCCTTTATTTATCTAGAAAAATAGTCTGTATTTGTTTCCTTGATTTAATTGTTGTTTTGGTTCACAAGCAACTAGACCAGAACACTAGCAGTTACTATATGCAAAGACTTGAATAATTTATCCAGAGATATGGGACACTTCATTTTTCAGATCCACAGCAATGCTTATCTTCTACTTACAGCTACAATAAGTAGGTCAAATGCATTATTTGCTTATATAAGTAACAATCTGTTTGCTGAGCTTCTAAAATAATTGCAGCCCATTAAATGAAGCTGGTAGACCTACCAAGGTGGTGTTGTGCAGAATACTGAGCTCTTGGGGACTTCAACAGGAGGTTTACTGCATCCAACTATTTCA